TATTATATTAGCCAAAAACTCTGAAATATTTTGATGTGAACAATTTAGATCGTTGTGTAGCAAAAACTGAAATTGTAAGTTGAGAAATGATATTTCATATATTTGTTATATCTTGAAATATTGCAATAAAAGTTACATGGGTCATTGGGCCATCTTGCCAGAAAGTTTCATCAAAATCAAATGAATAAAACAAGAATAAATGACATGATAGCAAATGTAAGATAAAAATAAACGATAGCAGTCTACACATAGAACGAACCATCATTATGTAAAGATTCATTTTGTCCAACCCAAATTTTGTTGTCGCTTTTATTTTATTAAAGTTCAATTTGACTAAAAATCATTTTGTCTAATTTTACCCAATCTAATTTTAAATTCTTGAATTTGCAAAATTTTTAACTAAAGTTGTCGGAATCATTGTGATTGATTTTGTGATAAAATACAAATTTGGCGTAAATTAATAAAATGAAATGTAAAGAACTAATAACTTAAAAATGTAAAACAGGCATACAAATAACTCAACATATTAAAAGCAGTAAATTTTTTAGCCAATGTTATAAATTTTTAATTGGCGGCTTGATTTGACGTTTCTGGGTTCGGTCAAGTCCACTTCAGCCACCAAAACCACACCATTAAAGCGATGTTACCCTGGCCAAGTTTGATTGCGTTGTAGTTTATTGTAATGACCATTGCTCATTTTTGAAGCATGCAATAAATAAAATTTCATCGTAAGAAGCCTGATGCAGATGTTTAAAAAACCGGCCCAGGAAATTTGTTCCTGGCGACCCACATCATTCATTAATTTAATATTTTCACCTATTTTCAACTTAATTCAATTTCTATATATTTTTCTTTAGTTTCTTTAATTATTTCATGCATTATAATGAATTTTTGAACTCCAAAAACACTACATGAAGTCGTATGAATGATTATATTTATTTACACGTTTACGTTAGTAATTATGCAAAACAACTTTAAATTGTTAAATATAAAAATCAATAATGGTCGTTACAATAATAACTTTTTTTCTAACAACTTAAACATATAAAACATTAAAGTCTAAAATTTCTATTCACTGTTAACTAAAATGATTAACATTGTTTCACTTCACTAGCCGACGCTAAGACATTAAGGATTTCATTGTTGTTGATTCATGGAAGAAGGTCCTTTTCGCGAAACACCGGCATACATTATTGTAAAATTCACTGGCTCAGTAAATTTTATTATTTGTTCGAAACGTTTTTCTATTTTGTAAACCACCTCTCCTGAGCAACTTGTGAAGGGTGATGTCAAAACAAATTTATAAGCCTGATACCAATTTGATTAAGCAAAACTAAACTATGCCCATAAAACGCTTGGAGAACAAAATAACAGTCAACATTATGAAATTTTTTAAAAGATTTGCATTTATATCTGTGATTTTTGCTGGGATGATGTTTTACGTATTTTCGAGTAATTCTACTGATTTATAAATTGTTAAATATTGTCCGAGACTAAGTCCGATACTTCCATTTAAAAAATCAAATTATACCTGTTTTGAAAATTCTTTCATTTTCTCACAAACTCCAAATTCAATTTAAAGTAATCTTTTGTTAGAGTATCATTAATTTTGTTGAAAAACCCGCTTAAGTGCTGCAGTGCATCAGTGGACATTCATTTCAAAAATTTTGCTACATTTCTAAAATTTAAGCTAGATAAATCAGTGTAAAGACTACCATGCTCAGAGAACCTCTGTCTTAAACTTTTTATTACTTGATCCATAACCACATTGTGAACATTGACACAAAATTTATCTTTTACATTTTTAAGTGGTTGGTTTGGTTGGCAATGATTCATTTTTCCTTCAGAATAGTCTGCACTTCAATGTTGAGATTTCCTTTCTCTAGTTCACTATTTGCAAATTTCAAAAATTTTTAACTGCTTGAAAAATTGAATCAAAATTTTGCGTCAAAATTAATGTTACAGATAACCACTGATGTCGAAAGCTTTTTATATAAATAATTATAGTTCGACTTCTTATGATCTGGATTTCGCTGTTTCAATTTGATTATATTCAATATGAACTATTGTTTGAAACTGTCACATAATTGAAGGTAATTTTAGTTAAAACAATAAAATGCAATAAATTTCTTTTGGCAATTGGCCCACCGGAAATCTCCCGGTGTCTAGGTGGCCCAGTCCAATTCTGGCCTGGTGTAACTAATGATAAATATTTTTCATAAATATAAAATCTGAAAAGTTATTAATAAAACAGCTAAACAAAAATCTTGAAAAGTTAGGTCACATTTTTATGCTAGGTTTCAAAGTTGGATGTTTTTGCGTGAATCAGTGTCAGTCGGAACTTTCAAGGCATTCGAAATCGAATTTTTTATTCCATTTAGAAATGGTTTTTGAAGATCTATTTCATTCATGTTCTAAGCCTGACTTTTCATGTTCGAGTTTTGGTGGTGAATGATGACAGATGTTAGCAAATGCGACGTTATTAACAACACCGGTCTTCAGCTTATAAAAATGTAAACATAAATGTTTGTTTGTATGTAAGTACGTACATACGCATGAATTATTTAAATTTTATTCACTTGTACTGTTATTGTGAATATATAATTGTTATTAATAAAAATTATTTGTGATTTTGTAATTAACGTTTGAAATCCTACACATATTATGACAGTTACGTTGTTCTGATGTGTCCTACGCAGAATTATTTTGATGTTATATTCTTCCATTTCCATGATACTTTTAACATTTTGTATAAGAACCTTATTAATTCTTTTTTTTATTATTCTATTCTATTTAATTTTTCTTCATTTCTCAAAAATATCACGTCTTGTAATTTCTTTGTCAACTAAATATAATAAATAAATAATACAATGCGTGGTATGATGGTGAATCAAAAGACTTTGTGCTAAACTGATTTCGAAGCATTGAATCACTTCAACTGGTCGGCAGCATAAAATTTGGCAGCATACATCATGCCATATGTAATTACATGTTGTGGGCGTATATTGTGCAGTGTATTTCTGTAACTTTACTTCCACTTTTAAAATTTAGTGTGAAACTTCGTTGATGTACGATGGCTTAACGATTTGAATATTCTTTCATTTTATTTAAAAATTTTTATTATTTAAAAATCGGTTTATTTTTGGCTGGTTGATACGCCGTAACAACAACAGCGTTAAACATTATTTTATAGAAAACTTTCGTAATGGATGAAAAAGGTACTACTAAGCAGCAAAACTAAATTATTTAAAAAATAGTAAAAACAAACTATTTAGATTAAAAAATTTGCCATTTAAAATATAAAATAGGAATTAATTCAAGCAAATGTAATGAACATTCAGAAATTTTTCATTCGTCAGGATTTGTCTTTGCCTTCTATAAAATTATCTGAATTTTTAATAAAAAAAATTAAAATTATCGAGTAATTACGCAAAATAAATTGAATTAAAAATGAATTAAAGAACCAAATACGTTCAGGTATTTCTAACAAGGAAAATTGTTATCTGAATGCATTTCAAATATTTATCGCGTTTTATTTACAAATTAAAATTTTAAACGTCATAGGACATCGGATGTCATCGTTGTCGTAAATAAGTGTGACACTGCTAAAGTTTTCAGGTAGTGTCTGCAAATTTAATTATTTTCTTTCCGACGGTGGTTACAGAAATGCGCAAGAACGGGCTCTTGGTTCTTTGTTTAGTTGCTTTTTCCGCCATGAGTCGCCAGTTGAAAAATGTTTTTAAAATAAATTTCACCGAGCCTCTTCAAATTTAATTTTTCAGAACTTCTTTTGATTATTAAAGTCTAAAATGACTTTTTTTTATTGTTATTTTACATTTGCATTAGGTTTCGACATTTGACTTTGGCTATTTGACTAATTTAACTAATTTTAATATTCAGCATTCTACCTATTTTAACTTTAACAGTTGCATTTTTCAATGTCGTGCTATTATATAAAATACAAAGTATGTTGTACGATAAAATTCCTGTCCACATAAAAATATTCACCGATTCATTTTCATGACTGTAGAATACTCATTTGCAGGTGCGCTGTAACTTTTGAAATTAACCACTACACATAACTACTCCTTCCACATAATCTTCAAATAGGATTTTTGAATCCAAAACAAAATAACAATTTTTATGTCGGTTAACATTTTATAACAGAAACCACAAACGTTTGAACGGGTTACAAATATTCAAACCTGCTAATCATTCTTATCACCCCTTTCAGCTGAACACAATTTTGTTACCATTGCTTTGAATGATTCCGACTCCGCAAGAAAATCGTAATTTTTTTTTATAAAGATTTTTCCATTTTCTGAAAATTTTTCTTGAACACTTTTTGAAATCATTACAAGTTCGGCTTTTTTGATAAAATCCTGCAAATACCATCTACAATTTTTTAAAAATTTAAAAATTGTGTGTGTTTTACTTCTGATCGAGAATATAAAAATCCATTTTCTCCGTTCTCAATGATTGTGGAATGAATTGTATTTGCTCTCGCAATGACAGGTGTCCCAAGACTAAGAGCCTGTTGAAAGAGACTTAACTTAGCAACAAAGTTATTGTTCATTTCAATGTTATTAAAGATTGCTTATATAAAAAGTTTGATAAAATGTCTATAAAGGCACCCTTGCCAGCAAACTTGAAAATTAAATGATACAAAATCCGAAACAAAAAACATTTGAGAACTAAAAAAAGGAATGCTATAAAATGAACGTCATAATAGAACGCCATCTTCTTTTGCAGGCAATTGATGAGCCTAGACTACTCCGGCTGATTGAATGGTTATTAGCTAACTCTTACATATTCAGACATGTACCAACATCAGCTATTATCTCTGGTTCAACATTAGAATGTTTATTTTCAATTCGTAAGCGAAACTGAATGGATGGCTTGGAGTCATCCAGTCTAACTTCATTCTATCTCCTCAACCGGAATGCTGGACAACGTGGGTGGATCAGTCTCAGATGTAGGATTATGTAGTTATTTCTGAGTCGCTGAAGGGGCTCAAACTGATAGTAATCTATGATGATGAAGTTTCCATTACAGCAGGCCAAAGGTGAGGAAACTGCGGCCCGCTAGCTCATCTCATCATCGCAGTCCATAAATGTCACAAATTAGTTCATTTTTTGCGCTTTTGTGCATCTTAATTTCAAGCAATCGGGATTTCACATTTTAATTTTGAACATTTTATTGACAACATCATTTCATTCTGGCCTGCAGAAAAAAGTTTGCTCGGCCCTGCATTGAGCGAAAGATACTTTAAACGTATTTTTGTTTTATGTTCAAAATTGTCATTACCATTGCTATCATTTGTTTTTGTTATTATAAGTCACCTAGAACACATTTACTGTCCGACAGCCGTTATAGACAAGATTTTATAATTCTGAAAATTACAAAAATTGTCAAAATCACTCATCATTTGAAATCGCACATACACCTGAAAATAAGCAAAATTCTGAATGAAATAATTATTCATTTTTTCAGCAGATTAATTCAATCGATGAAATAATAAGGATAATGTGAGGAATTGTGACAACAATTTGTCTCAAGCCCTATATAATCTTATAAGATAAAACTTTTAACCAACAATATTTTTACGATTACAATTTCTAGTAAGTTAATCTTTTCCAGGTAATGCTGGAAAAACCAAAAAACTAATAAATAAGAAGTGAATGCAAAATAGTAAAGAACCAATTTTTAATTGTATAAAACTGACCACCTCTAAAACTGTCGTGCATGAGCCACCAATAGTGGACGAGCTGACCAGAGCCACCGAGCCACGGATTAATTGATGAAGCAATCGTTGAACAACAAAGCCTATGTATATGACGCCTGGGCATCTGAATAATTTAAGTTTAAGTTTGTGTGTGTGTGTGTGTGTGTGTGTGTGTGTGTGTGGATAGAGAGAAAGAAAGTGTGTGTGGAGTGTGTGTGTGTGTGTGTGAGTGAGAGAGAGAGAGAGAAAGAGAAAGAAAGTGTGTGTGGTGTGTTAGTTTTTGCATGCTCATAATGTAAAATTAAAATAATGCAAAAATCATCTGGTTCACTTAAATTTAATATATAAAAAATAATTCACCCAGAGAGGATATCTTCAAACTTCGCAGAGTATTCTTCATCAACCTACAATAAACAATTTCAAGTTTAAATATAAGTTTAATTTAACCAACGTACAACAATCTATCTATATATAAATTTAATAACTGAATATATGGGCTGTCAAAATAATTAAGAAATTTACAACAAATCTTTCTGAGTTTAAGAAATGATTAAAGGAACATCAAGCAGAAACTACTCGATTGCGATCCTTAAAGTGCTACACGTTAAAATCCAAAAAGTAACGTATTGAAACGTTTGAAGCATTGGCCTGCTTGTAAAAGTCCTTGAACATGTTTTAAATTTTTTCAATTAATTTTTTCATGCAGTGTTTCGCAGAAACATTGTTTACTAATAACGAGCCATTTTTTGAAGATTTTTTCACGGTCTGTCTCAAGTGCGTTGGTTTTCCGATCGTTGCGGCAGATGCATAACTGATGCTAGTTACATAATGGAGGCAAGATGTGTTAGTACTAGGTCTGGTGAGGCTAGTTTGGTGTAATATTGAAGAATCAATTCTGTTTTTGTCTACAAAACTTCTCTTTTTTAAAAATAGTGAAACTGCAGTTATATAATGGTAATCAAAGATTTTTCAAAGTTCATTGATCTCCATAAACTTTTTAAGCTTAAAACGAGCCATGCCATAGGTTGCGTGATTACAGAAGCGATAGAAATATAAAAGGAAAGTCTTTAGTACAATGAGCTTCACACGTAAACACACTACTTATTTAAAAATAAAATAAATAAATTTCATGCATAATTTGAGCAAAGGCGTGTGAACAGAGTAGCTTCCAAGCGAGTTTAAATCTATGATCGAAATTGTCGAGAAATTGTTCTGAAGAGTTCGAGGGAGATCATTTTGATGGGATTCTTCTGTTTAGTGCAGTTGAATGGTGTAAGACACCGTTTTGGTATTGGTTAACAACTGCAAATTAAGTAGCTCACAAGGGCGTTTAATTTCCATTAACGATACACTTGGTTCATTAGTACAACAGCGACATTAAACATATCGTTAACATAATTAAATTACAATCTAACCTTCTCTCCCGATATTAAAAGAAATGGATGAGATCTGTGCAGCTGGTGCCAATCTAAACCAAAATTGAGCAATTTATTTCAAGTTTAATTTATAATAAATATCATTTACGTGTAAATGCTGGCAATACATGTAATGGATCTTTTGATTCGTTTATCTTGCACGCCATTAAAAAGTATTTGCTGTTTGGAAGAGTTATAAACTTTTTCAGGAGGTTGTTTGCTTGGTCAGGTAATGGAGCAGTTGTGGTTATCCCTATAAATCCAAAAAATTATATTTTTTGTCGTTATGTTATGGAGACAACTGCGTTTTAAACAGCCAACCTCGAGGTAATAAGATAATTTTTTCTTTGTTGAAATAAGGCTGTATACCAAAAAAGATATTTCAAATTCTAAAAAATTACACTCTAATGATATTGCATATTAAAAACAACCCATAGTTTAAGAAATTTTTTTCTCGTTAATTCACTCAGAACTGCTATCAGATTTGATCCCCCAAGAATATTCTCCATGCCTCTTAGTTGTTCTTTATCGAGATTCCACAATTCTGATTCAGAGATAACAGTAGCATTTGGAACACGGCAGTCTGTAAAAAGTTGAAAAAAATGAGTGAGGCTATAAAACATTGAATTATTGAAAATGTAAACTAATAAGCTTTTGCATAAAAGTTGAGTATATTTGTTGGTAACCTTTTAAAATTTCACAAGTTTTGTAACCGTTTAAAGCGATAACGCAGTCTACGTTATTTTCTTTCAAGTAGTTATTTAGGTCAAATTTTTGTGGCTTAAAGCAGTTGTCGATACCAGAAATGTTCAAAAGAGTCCAGTTTTGATCTTCGTTTTGATTGCATGAATTCCTCAAATAATTTTTTAAAATTTAAAAATTTAAAATGCAAACAGCGAGAATAAAAGTTATAAGTACTTTAAACGATTAGCCATTGTGGTTTCTGCGTTCCCTTGCCTCAAATCTCCCAAAATAACTACTTGTAAACTTTGCGTGTTCATCTTGAAAAATATTATCTGCATTTAGGTTACAGTGCCAAATTTTGATACCGGTTTAATATTTTTTTATTTATCTCTGGTCAAAATTTTTTTTTATTTGGCTCTGGATTTAGATTCAAACCAAATTTTTGTTTCAATATTTAGCAAAGTTTATATATGTATGTGTATGTATATATATATATATATATATATATATATATATATTATATGCAAAAATGTTTGTATCAATGTTTCGAATGTGCGCACATATGCACTACATATCTGTAATATTGTATTCTATCACTTGGACTATTGATTGATGTGACTATCTTAGTGCTATCCTAAAAAAAATTACAAAATTAATTTTAAATCACCAGATATTAACATCCAACGCTAACGATCGAGATATGTGTATTTCAAAATATAGGTATAACATATATGAAACATGTATTAATATAAGTAATGCAAGTATATATCATCCATTGTCTTGTCTTATAAGTCTTTTATTTTTGTTGCATGCATCGAGGAATCAGGATTTACCGAGTCCTTTGTGGTTTGCCGACATTTTTGTAAATAACGGTAAATACATAGGCAATTTCTGTAAAAAGCAAAAATTTCAAATATCTATTCCGATTAACATCAATTGTCTAAGATCATGAATTTTTAGACTAATTAACATGTCCATGTTTAATATAGATTAATCAAAAAAATGTCGCCAAGTATTTCCAGTTTTTGGCGCCGCCATCAGAATTGTCTAAACGACGATTATAATCCGGCTAAAAACTGTACAGCATTTTCATAATTATTTAATAGTATTTTGATATTTTTTACTTTTCTTTTTTATTTGAATTATAGGAGTTTATTCAGCAAGCTAGATGCTTAAGATTTTAACAAATAATTCAATGAATATATTATTTAGTTATTGGATTATAACAAAATTTTCTCTTATCTTTAGAAATTTATAGATACGGCATACATTTTCACATTTTTTTGTATTTATATAAACATCCGGGTTCCGAACCAGATATTCCATATCTTAAATTTCTGAATTAGCTCATTCCTAATTTGTGTACTTCATCGGCTGTTATTTAATTATTGTAAGTAAACGCATATTCGTACAATTTTTCATAAATAAAATTGAAATTATTTGCATTTATTTTGATATTCTACTTTGCAGCTTTCTTCTTCCTCCGGCTAGCGAATGGTAATAACTAACTTATCCATGCATGACTATTTAATATGGTTAATCTATTACACAGTTCATGCTATATATAAATAATGGTTGTATAAAATATATAGCATGTGCTATACATAACAATATAGTCAAAAAAACAACAATGAGTCTCGATCGCCCTTTGTAAAGTGTCCTAATAAAAATTTCAACAAAGGTTGACAAAATGTTAACAGGATTCCACCACTTGACGTATGAGAAGGAAATAACAACGTGCTGACTGTCAACGCGGAAACGTAGGAGGGTGCGTGGTGATCTCATTCAAACTCAAAATTTTTTGGTTGGTATGGAAGAATTGCCATCCACATGATTTTCGAGAAATCAGACGACAGAAAAAAATTTTTTCTAGGTCAAGCACGACGATTTCAAATCAGTGCGGCTATATGAAACCAGAAAAAAGGTACTAAATATGCTGAAACATTATGCAAATGCATGAAATAAATCAATTAAAAAATAATCAAAAAATAAAATTTTTTAAAATGAATAAATATTTATCAATAAACTATAAAAGTGTGAATAATAATTGTTCATGGAAAGAAAAACCAGACCATAATAATAAAAACTGATATTTATTAACAATATTTTAAATACCTTGAAATTCTTGAAAAATCATTCAATTTTTACTAGAAGCTCCTTGTTTATATTTTGCACAATTTTATTAATGAGATACATTATTAGATAACAAAGAATATCCAACAAATTATTTAACAGCAGATTCATTAGATTTCTCTATACAAGCAAGATGATCTATGATCGCAAGGCAGCATTAACATTCGATCTCATCACTTTTACAATGTCAAAAATCCCACCACATGCAAAAAGTAATCTAAAAAGTAATCAAGTAAAGTAATCATCTACTCAAGTAAAGTTTAAGTACACCACGTACATACATAACAATTAATACAATCATTCATACAATCATCGATACAACCACAGACCTTGTGGCATCATTGAATTAACTTTATAAATTTCAATTAAATAATGACAAAACGAAGAATATTTCACGTTTAGTAAGCAAAAGGATTTTCATGGAAAAAATTATCTCAGAGTTATAAATTGTTAACATGAATTTTATTTTAAAGTTATTTTATATCCATACAAACATCTGTCAACACTTGAAAATGCAACTAAGAAGAATACACCAAAAATAGATTTTGACAAAAGAATCTAAAAAAGTTGATAGATCACTTTAATTCCAAATTTAAGAGTGTCATTATAAATTATAAATTTTAAGATGAGGTTTGATTGCCATTTCGGCTGTGGACAAAAAATGGTTCTTGGAATTAATTGAACTAATCTGATGTTGTCTAATGAATGGGTGATGCAAGGGTGTTTTTATTCTCTTTTGACACAGTAGCTAACATAGGTAAGTTTTTTTAAACATGGTTGCTGGATATTTTAAGGCTGATTGACGGAGAGGTATTTACTTTCCGTTGTTGATTTGATCAGTGAATGGATAACTTTTCCAAAAAATGTATACACGGTTTGAATTGTTCTGAAGTTGTTGTTTGCTGAAATTGTTGCTTCAAAAATGTGGAAGTGTTTGCAATTGTTGCACCATTGTTTATTTTGTTGTACGTTATTGAAAAACAACATATCTATACTATATCTATATATATGTAAGCAGTATCAACATGTTTTCAACGTATATAAACATGTAATATTGATGACTGTTTAAATGTTTAAACTGCTATGCTACGATGTAGCATTTTTGAAATGCGTGTTACGGGAAACCAACAAGACAGAGTCTAATCTTTAAAATCTCATCAGTCGCTGAATTAGGAAAAGTCATTACGCACTAGAGTGCCACAATGCTAAGGGAATCGTTTCACTTCGTCAAATTTAAAATTTCGAATTAAAATTATTATTGTTATTTAAAATATATTAAAATATTCACAAATACCATTTCATTGTTTCGTTGTTGTTTTCGTTGTACATTGTTAAAGATAATAAAGCTTTGTGATTTGTAAATGTGCATACCTACATTACTTGTCATTTAATACTGAGTTTAAGAATTTTTAAAAATCAACGTTAGGGCTCTGATTCGGTATTTTGTCTGGGGTCCGCTGAAGGCTTGATTTGGCCTTAATAAAACATTTATGTAACATTATGTTATATATAAATTGAGTTGCATTTATAATTAAGGTATTTTTCAATAAGATCAAATAGGCAGAGGCAAGGGAAAGTAGTCATTACAAAAATTGTAATCAACACTCAAACCTTTGATTCCCGAGCACTCTGTGGTCACCATAAAAAAAGCCTATTGCAATAGAATCAGACAGTGCTCGAATTTATAAAGTTGATCGGATTAAAAAATTATTATAAATACTCGTTCAAACAAATAAGTATCTTTTATTTTTTTTCCTACAGTTGAGTACATGGCTCATTGATTAATTTTGTTCCATCTCTAAACTACTAATGCCAATGCCTGAGCAAATATTATCTGGCAATGCAGTCACATTCATCATTCTCTGCGATCGATGTCTCCATATCATCAATTATTCAGAACCTTGGCGTCAAAGTAAGTTACATATACAACATAGGTTTCGAAGATAAAACAGTAATGATAAATAATGTTACATTAAAAAAATTGTTTTGATAAATATTTTTCTGTTTAAAAAATATTACAAAATTAATAATATTTATGAAAGATGAGCATTCCAGGTTCGCATAAAAATTTGTAAAATGTATTCAATAGCTTGGTTTCCAGTCAAATAATAACCAAAAATTTTATTATTTATATTATTTATATAGGAATTTACATGAGTGCATGAGGCTATAATGCTAGATAACGTGGAGGAGTTAGGTGCAAATGTAATTTTTTTATTATTTTGGTGCATGACGTGTTATTAGCTGCGCTGTTAAAATTAAAACAATATGTTGTTGGTGGAAGAATCGTCCTTATCTTGGCAGGTGGTTATATAAAGATGAATAATAAGCTGTTGTGATTGGTACATTTGTATTTTGCTTTGAAAAGTGCAGTGCATAAGTGATGTATGCTTTATGATTTTATGTGAGACGTTTAGTGATAACTTGGATCGGTTTGTGTCGAAGGGAGTCTTAAATTGAGATATAATTGGTAGTATGAGAGTTGGCTAAAAAGTAAATATTACATATACTACATAGGGTTAGTTATATATTTATTTTTACAATTTTTCTTTTGCCTCAACGTAACTGAATTCATAGAGGCTTAAGCTATTCCCCCTTTTATATAGCAAAGGCCTATATATTTATTTGACATATACCTACGATGGAAACTAAGGAATGGGTCAAAACTCAAAGCGCACTTAAAATGTGTGCGGGTGCGTTCGAGGGCCTATATAGGTATTCTAAGTATATGGATCAGCGCAGAATTTTTTATTTTATTCTTTCAAACTTTGTATCGAGTTCAATTTTATTTTTTGTTCATTTTAAACACAGTAAACCTACGTCACTTTTGACTTTTTTTATTTATTTTAAATAAATTTTAAAATAGGTATACATGAATTTATTACAAAAGATTGCGATTCAATCTTATAAAACTGTCCGTTCAACCAAACACAAGTTGTTGCTTCAAGATAACATTTTAACGTTGAAAAATTTGATGAAAGGACTTGTGCTCTCTGATTTAAACATCAACCCTAAACTTTTAGATGGTCGGGAGACAGTATACGCTTTGAATGAATCTGATTCAGAAGATTCATTGTCAGATTCTGATGATGCACCTTCTGCCCCTGTAACATACATTGATGTGTGGAAAGATGAGAATTTCACCATGGGTGTGTTTGTGCTAAAGCCGGGTTCAAAAATACCTCTTCATGATCATCCCCAAATGTATGGACTCATAAAAGTATTTATTTTATATTAAAATTTAATATTTTTATTTTAATAAATGAGTTATCTAACATCCAGTTGTAGTTTTAGTCCATCAAAATTGTGCCCCATTGAAAGATTTTTCAATTTTGAAAATCTTTTGGTTATATATGAAATGACAGAAATGAACGTGTAATAATTATAATTTAAATGAATAAAAATTAGGGATGCACCGGATTCAGGTTTTTCAAATCCGGCTGGGGCCGGACTTGGCCGGATTTAAAATTCAAAAACCGACCGGAGCCGGATTTTAGTTACCATTTTACATACGTTAGAAAAAATACTCACATTTACGGTTATCTACATGTTGAACATCAAAAAATAACACCAAGCCAATAGTTAATTAATTCAAATATATGAATAAGCTGTGTGATACACCAAATTTTGTACACAAAGATCAGCTTATAATTTATGCATAACCCATGTTATAGCATAAAGAAAATTGTCCAGCTCATCGCACAATTAGTGATGTTGTTATTATGTGTCATGTATGCACGTGCACAAGTTCTTTTACACAAAGATCAGCTTATAATGTATGCATAACCCATGTTATAGCTCAAAGAAAATTGTCCAGCTCACCTCACAATTAGTGATGTTGTTATTATGTGTCATGTATGCCTAGCCTAACCTTTAACATACCATGTTCTTAAATTATGCGCTTATGCATCTCTATGTATATTTATATTATGTAGCTATATGATCCGTCATATACAATTATATAGTATGAATGAACACGTGCACAAGTTCTTTTACACAAAGATCAGCTTATAATTTATGCATAACCCATGTTATAGCACAAAGAAAATTGTCCAGCTCATTTCACAATTATTGATGTTGTATTATGTGTCATGTATGCTTAGCTTTTAACTTATTGACATAAAATTAATTGAATTCAATGAATTTTTTTTTTCTATTTATAACATTTTTAAATGTCGATAGACGCTTAAATCCGGCCACCAAATCCGGCCGGGGCCGGATTTAAACAAAAAGCCGGATTTTGGCCGGAGCCGGGGCAGGGGCCGAACTTCGGTGCATCCCTAATAAAAATAGATGAATATAATATAATACTATATATATATATATATGTATTTATGTACAATACAGTCAGACCTTGATAGAACGAACTTGATGGTTTTACTTTTATGAAATAAATTTGCAATATTATATTATTTGTCTGGAAAAAATTCAATATTTGCTTAAAATAGAAGGTGAATATAGGCTATATATTTATGAAAAAACAACTTTTGTTCATTTAATTTTATATCAAAAAGTAATAATACATAGTATAATTGCAAATAATATGGAAAATACTATATTATATTGCATTCAATTTTTTTAGTCTTTCAATTTGAATCTTCATGTTTCCTAATTTTTTTATTATTTCAAAATGTTCACAGTGTAATTGAATTCCTTATTTATAGTTATAATTAAATCCATAATGCGTAGTGAAGGGTTGAGAATAAGTAGTTTTATTTATTTTTTGTAGAAATGGAAATCATTTGAAAAATATCATTTCTGTGCAAAATTTTAAGGAATACTTTTACAATTCAATTACTATTTTTGTTTATTTCCTTCCATTTTCACTCGCTATAATTTTGTGAGCAAAATTTTTAAAAGATATGACGGCCACAAGGTGATATAGTTACAGGCTTATTACATTTTTTTTATTTTTCAGTGTTATTCTATACAATTTTTTGTGGTATTAGTTGACTATTTCCAACGTACAAACTTTGCTTTGCCAATGATGAAAGAAAAGTTATACAAATATCAAAAGTGTAATTATTAAGTTTAACTGTGAAATAAAGATGTTAAGCAAACGTAAACCAACTCTCCATCAAAAATGTAATAATAATGATAAATCCAATTGTTTTTTGTTATTTCCAGGTAATATATGGATCATGCGCTGTTAAATCATTTTCAATAAAAAAGACCAGCAACGGAAGTTCAGTGGATTTATCATTCCAGACACCAATTCAAGTCTGCAGACACCCAACTGTTAATGCAACGACGTCGAGTGATGTCATCACACTAACTCCAGATGTCGCTAATTTTCACGAAATTTCGACATTAGAAACTCCGATAGCTTTTTTTGATGTTTTGTTTCCACCTTACAATGACGAAGAAGAAAGATCTTGTAACTACTACAAGGAGATAAAAAATGATAACTTGACAGAAACTGAACTTGTTAAGATAGATGCTCCAGTGGAATATTGGACTAATAGTGAGGTCTATCGTGGTCCTACCATTAAAAAAGAATGTGTTTATGGTGAAGTCTTATAAATATCAAAAAAAATTAAGAAGATCACCTCTCTATGTATATGATATTTGCAGGGTTTTTAAATATGTTGCCGAAATTATATTTTTTTGCATGTGTAGTTTCATGAGTATTAGAAAAAAGAAAATGCGGAATGTGTAAAAAAATGTATTATTGTATATAAATGTGTGTGTGTGTGTGCGATTGTGTATGTTTGTGTCTGCTTTGTGCGGCTTTTTTTTACAAACAATGTATAACAATTATTTCTACAAAAGCTAAAACTAAGATTCTACGTTACGTAAAGTTCGAACGTGAGTCGCACTACATGGCTTTAGTCACTAAGCTTTTGAATTATTATTAACGTGTAACATGAGCATTAATATGAACTAGATACGAAACCATGCTTTTTCTGGAAATTGTTTTGACACCATTGAATAATAAACAAATTAAAATTTTTCATAAGTACACTAAATCTATGGCGAACCACTCACTAATTTTCTTCAAACCTCTCACAAAGCCTTCCTATCCCAGTAATTTTTTTTGTTCTCCACTACACCTCCGTACAGTTCACCCTTCGTTATGAGGGTATATCCTTTCATCAGACCATATAGTTTCATAAGGGGTGGTAAGTTGGATGTATGACTCAAGCTCTGTGTTAACAGAAAGCCATCTGTTTTGTTAAATGATTGGTCTGACGAGATTCGTTCGTTGTATTCAAGGACTTGATGATATGCCTTTTACCTTATGAGATTTAAAAAAAGGTTGAAGATCAAATACTTTTGTGCACCTGCTTCAGAGGTTTCAATGAAAAACACACATCGTATATGGATACCCCTGAAATGCGTGCATCAGGCACAATCAATTAGCTTATAAAGCGCTATTTTCGCGGTGTTCAACAGCGCTGCTCAATGAATTTTGCAAACAGATGGGTCTTGAGATCCGCTCTGAATTTCTTAAGTGATGGAGAAGTAGTCAGAGAAATAGGTAGAGAGTTCCAGAGAAAAGGACCAGAAAAAGCAAAAGAATGTTTAACGCTAGTTAAGAAGAAATAATAACAAGAAGATGATCGTAAACCGGGGCGTTTAGGTTCAATTAATATATATAATAAGTATTTAGGGAATAATTTAGATTTTGATGTTTTATAGGTAGCCAGTGCAAGAGAATAAGATATGGTGGTATATAAGAAAAGAAAAGGGACACACGAACGACTAGACGAGCAGCAGAGTTAAAAGCTTTACTTAAAGGATAAAGTGTAGAATCAGGAAGACCATAGTAGAGCGAGTTACAATAATCAATCCTAAATAAGACTAACGAAGTAACAAGAAGGAGAAAAGAAAAAACAAGAAAAGGCAAGATCGTCAAGAAAAGGCAAATGATTTTTTCATTCTACGTAGATGAAAGTGAGAACTTCTAGCAACACTATTAATCTGAGAAGAAAGAGACATACTAGAATCAAAGATAAAGCTTAGACTACGAAACTTGTGAGAAACATCAAGAGTTTTCGAATCAGGTAAGATAATAGGAAGAATAGTAATTGAGTATTTAGATTTATTATTGCATATGATATTATATTATTATTGCCTTTAACCAATTATGCTATCATACCGCCCCCCCATATCTTTATCTCTATTATAAAAAAAAATTAATCATATTTTTTAAACATAAAAGCAAACATTAAAGTAAATCAAAGTATTCGTTCTAAACTAAATCATATTTTTTAAACATCAGCAAACATGAAAGTTAATCAAAGTATTCGTTCTAAATTTTAACATGTTTAAAATTGATTTTCTTTTATGTAGAGAGGAAAAAATGTTGGCATTGTTAGTATTTATTATTAGTTAGTATTGTTCAGGTGACTGATGTTTTTGGTCCACATGTCTTTCCAGACTCCATTTTGTATTGTACTTTTCTAAACATAAATGGCAAGGAAATGTCAAATGTTGAGGCTCATGCATCGAAGTTGAACCTTGTTCATGGGGCAGAGTTGCTGAATGCTGTTGGGATTGCTGTTGCTGCATCAGTTGAAATTTAATCTGGTTAAGTCCTTTTAAATTTTCAACATCTTTTTCCATTTTACGCCTATTTTGTAAACCATTTCACCAACTTTTGAAGCACTCTGCCTAATTTGTTTTAGACTTTTTGATTCATTTTGTCTTGTATCTAATATTTAAACCAAATTTAAAATTATTTAACCTGGTAGTTAAGACCAAATTTGAAACGTAACTGTGCTAAATTATCATAATTTTATTTTTGTATAAATTTTATTCAAATATAGAAAAATATCTCATCAAATATTATGAAAACAGAAATAAATAATTAAAAACCATTATTTAACCTGTAAAAATTGTAAGTGCAAAACTGAATGCTATTGAACGGACGATATAAAATTGAAAATAGACGATATTCAAAAACTACGAAAACGAATCGAAAAAATATATATAGAAATGTTTCTACAATTAATCTGCTGGATGTTTAGGTGGAAAGACAGTAGAGATGCCAGGTATGTACCACACTGACGAATATGATCTCGGTGGTTCTGCAGTCGGGCTTGTTGAGCAAACCAACCTGTTGCCACCGACACTGTTTACCAGCCAGATCACAGAAGATGATGTCCTCATTGGTTTGCCATCATTGGATCTTCACAGTTATGGCTTTGAGTCATGTCAAATGACCAAGAAAATAATTTAAAATCATATTCAAATTTTTTAAGACCTGAAAATCAATTGATAAATTCAGTTTGCAAATCTTGAATATGATCTGAATATTTTGTACAATCAGGATCTGCAATGTTTTTCTTATTTCTTTCATATTATTTTTCTGTGCACATTTCACGCGCATACGTGAGGAGATTAAAGAAAAATATGACTTTTTTTTATGTAGTATTAACACTAAACATATAAAAGGCTATATTTGTTGATAAACTTCTTATATTTACAAACGTAAATTATTTGATCGGTTATTAAGGGCAGGATCTGGTCGGATGCTATTTTTAGTTGTTTTTTTTCGAAAGGTGTCAAGTTTTAAAGCAAATACATTAGCATAGGAGTTAGGTAACTTCTATGCAGTGTAAGTGTGAGCTGTCGAGGTCGGGGAGTCCACTTAACCTAAAATTACCAAAAAACATAAACACAATTTTTTTAACATTTTCACTAAATTAATGTTTCAAAATAGTGAAATTTCAAATAAGAAGCGTGAATAAAATAAATAAACCAAATTATATACAAATTTAAACGTTTAAAAAATTATTAAAATTAAAAGCTAAAATTAAATCTAATTTCATTAAAATGAATTATAGTATGAACAAAAACACTAAAACTATATGCCTAAAGCTACATGCTTTCACTATTCTATTTACACAATTTAAGCGTACAAAATTATGAAAATTTTTTAAGAAAAATGTATCTCCTTTGCAATAATTTATTTAAATACTCGTTTTTAAAAATTAATTAAGAAAATGAATTCATCAAATAAAATATTTTTGTGTGTGTGAACATTTAATTACAATTATTACAACCCAGAATAAACAGTGAAACTAATGGAAAGAAATAGAAATTCGCGCTATCCCACCTGGAGTTAGCAGTTAGTGTTAGGTCGATTAAATTTTGTAGAAACAGTTTCACAGAAACTATGGAGTAACATTATAACATCTACACTTACAATTGGTGAATGTTAGACATTAAACGGTTTTTAATAAAATGCATGTCATATATTAAACGAAGACGAAACGGAACGAATTTGAATTTAATTAAAATGAATGATGAATGAAACTTTTTCCTATTGTTTTAACAATCTTGAAATTTATCTCCGAAGGCCACTTAAAATGGATTGGCGGACCGGGTTGTGGTCTGCTGGTCGCCAGTTGCACACCCCTGATTTAGACAATAAAAAAATAATTTTTCACTAACGTTACTTTGAATCAATTGCAAAACAATGTTCGATTTTATGTCAATGACAGAGAAATATTTATTATTGATGCTTATGAATATATCATTTTATCACTTCACAGTGGGGCAGATTCCAAAGCTGATGTTTAAATTAACATTCAAAGCAGTCTATCAGTCAGGTTCTGGGACGGAAATAATGTGGTCGTTCCGGAGGAGGCATCCAGTATAGCACCGTCAACAGCCTTATCTCAGTTTACTCCATCTTCGTCGTCGTCGTCATGGCAACCATCAACGTCGATGGATAGTGAATCTTCACCAGTTCTGAATAATGTTGAACAGTTTGATGTCACGAGGGTAACAGGACAAATACCCCCCGGACAAATACCCCAGAGCAAAAAACCCCCCCAAGCAAAATACCCCCGAAAAATTACCCCCCAAGCAAAATACCCCCCAAATTCAACGAGTTTACATAGAAATCGCTTTTAGTTTCATGGGCGGAGCCAAATATGCTCGTCTGTTTTGATTAAATTAATATTGAATATTTGAATTCAATTTTGCATCGCTTTAGTTTTATTTAAATTTTTATTCCGGATTAATAATTTTTTTAAAACAATGCTTCGAGATCAGAAATTTTTTTGTAAGTGCAAATGTTTGCAGCCCGGTTGTCGCAAGATCATTCGCCAAGGTAAGTGGAGTTTGCATTGCAGAAAAGATCATGGATATATGCATGCAAGGTTATTCTCTAAATCTAACTAAACTAAACTAGACAGATTTTAAAAAATAATTTGAAAGCGTCGTTTATTTGTGTTGTCTCCTTTCATTTAATTCTTAGCACCCATTCAAATATCTTTATTACAGAGGTGATGACATAAAAAAAGACATTGTTTCAGTAAAAGACATCTATGGTAAATGGAAACCACAAAGCTCAAGCCAAACTAATTCATCATCTACAAGTTTAATGCCAGCAGGCAGTAATAATGATATGAGAAAATCAGATGATAATATTGGTGATGTTGTTGCTAAAGAATATTTGCCAACAGAGGCAGCTGAATCCAACAGCAACGTTTGTGATTTGATTCAATCAAACAATTCCAACTTGAATGCTCATGGTTTAGTTGAAAAAAATATTGAAAATAAATTTAATTATTGTGAAAATCTAAACTTAGCTTTAGACAAAAATGATGCAGCTCAGTTTTGTAGACGAATATTGAAAAGGCATGAAATAACAACATGCCTGGCACTTGGTGTATATCAACCAAATGACTATTCCTATCCTGTTACTGATGGTCGCAGTTTCCAAAAAGAATGGTTTGAATGTGTAATGCCAGATGGCTCAAAATGTAAGAGACAATGGTTGTCTTACAGCAAACAAACTGACAAAATTTACTGTATTACACGTATTATGTTTTCCGGCCCAAAAGGTTCAGTTGTATAGACAACATCAGGTTTTAATAATTGGCATAATGGTTTGCGGGATATCATTCGTCATGAAGTAAGTGCAGAGCATCGCGAAGCTGATATTGCAAAAATAAATTGGAAAAGAGGATTGGCCGTAGATGTCTTCATCGAGAGAAATAGAAAAGATATAATTCAAGAATATAGAAAAGTTATGGTATGCATTTTAGATTGTGTTAAGTACCTAAGTGAAGAAAAGATAGCTTTTCGTGGAAAAACATCTAATAATGGAAAGTTTATAAATGTTTTTCGAACAATATCTAAACGGGATCCAAGTGCTGCTGCATATCTGATGAAAGTTGATGAATCACATAGATTAAGAAAGAAAATGGCTGTTAATTTTCTAAGTTCCAGCAATATTCGAGTTGTTTTGACAACAATGAAACGAATGATTGTTGAGAAAATTGTGTCAAATATTGCAGAACAACAAAAGGCATGTATTATTTTTAATAGCACACAAGATTTTAGTAAAAAGGAAGCAAATGTTCTTTTGCTGAGATATCTAGAATAAATAGTATGGGAGATTTGCATCCAGTTGAAAGATTGTTGGAAGTCTTTACTTGTGGAGAACATCGGGCAAGATACTCAAAGGAGAAGTTATTGATATTCTGACTAAATTGCATTTTAATATGTCATGGGTGATAGGTCAATGCTATGATGGTGCAGGTAACATGCGAGGTCGGTATGCTACTCTTATTCAAAAGGAGTGTGAAAAAGCAATTTATATTTGGTGCAATGCACACAGGTTAAATTTAGTGATGAATGGCGTTATGAAATGCTGTAATGAAATAAAAAATACGCTAGGACTGCTAGAAGATTTATATTCATTCATGAATGGTCATCGCAGAAATGCTGTATTCCAAAATTCTCAAAGTAATTGTCAGCATAAAATGCAATTAAAGCGTGTTCAAACCACTCGCTGGAACAGCACAGAATCTGCCGTAGAAACGGTGATAAAAAGATATTCAGAAATATTAACAAGTCTATCCGAGGTGGCTGAATCATCATTGAGTGACAGTGAAACAGTTACTGTTGCACTTGGACTTCGTAAAAGAATGAAAAACATCCGTGTGATAATTAGCATGAAAATTTTAAAATTGGTTTATAATATTATTAGTCTTGTCTGTATCCAAAGCAGTGCAGGATATATCAATTGACATGGCGTCTGCAACAGAACTGATAAAAGACTGCATTCATCAGTTTGACATCATAAGAAGAAATGCTGATTTGACGTGGAAAACAATATGCAGTGAATCGAAATCATTCGCAACAGCACATGGCATCAGCCCAGATTTTGATTTTGAAAGACGTCGTACAAAAAAAAAATGTTTGATGAACATTACAGCGACGAATGTTCAGTTGGAATAAATAAAATGAAAAATGAATGCTTTTTAATTGTTTTAGATGAGGTGAATCAACAAATGAAAAGTAGATTTGAGCAGCAAAATTTGGTTTTTTTAAAAGAACTTTCGCTATTTACTCCCAAAACACTTTTAAGCAACCGTTGTGTTAAGGCTAGTGAAATAGAAACTGTTTGTAACCAGTATAGTGTCAACGCAGAGGATGTTGCAAATGAACTGAACGAATTTAAAAAAGCATACACGTTGCTAAAAAATGACGAAAAGATGGAAAACCTGTCTGCAGGTTCAGGTTATGACTCTGGCATGGAAATATTTTCTGATAAATCAGATGAAGAAGATGACAATAACAATATGGCATATAAAGAAGCCCAAACGAATGATACTAATAATTGGAAAAATTGCAGTTTCATAAAACCACTTAATGTTCTTCATCAACTATCTGGTTACCGCAATTTGCTGATGCTATACAGAATATTTGCTTCTCCTGCTTTATCAAGTACCTCTGCAGAAAGAGCTTTAAGTAAGCTGAAAATTATAAAGAACCGCCTAAGGTCTACCATGGCAGATGATTATTTATCAGCATTAATGATAATAGCAGCAGAGAAAGATATTCTTCAAACATTCACTGATGATCAAATAATAACGCAAATTGCATTGTCAAGCCTGTCTTTAAAGTCTCAACTGTTTTATAATTAAATATTAATTAAATTTCGACAGAAGTTATATTTGTATATATCGCATTTTTTTTATTTTCATTGTTTATATATATATATATTATCAACAATTTATTTATAAAATTAAAATTTCTCGAAAGCGCTCTCTATTATAAATGAAATCAGTGAATGTCCATAAAGCACAAATCGATAAAGTATTTCTACGTCAAAATAAATATGTTTTTAAGTTCCTCTTGAAATCATCAAGCTTTAGTCCAGGCATTCTGAGCGATTGCGGAAGACTGTTCCATGCAATTGGTTCTGACACGGCAATATTGCCGTGTCAGGACCAATTGCAGTTTGTAGTTTAGTAGTTGTCACTGCCAGTAAATTGGCATAGTGTGATCTCAATTTTACACCTGTTGAAGAAGCTGGTTTTTTTTAATTTTATTTACTAGATATATTGGTAACAACCCGTTCATAGCCTTATACATAGTCACACAAATCTTATAGTTGATACTTTTTTTCACTGTTTTTCAATGTAGGTCTCTTAAAATGGGTGTCGCATGGTCATACTTTCTACGTCCAACAGTTATTTTTGCAGCTCTATTCCAAAAGATTCTATTACTTCATATACTTCAGCAGTGTACAGAACAAACAGGATATGTGAGCCTTGTGGTACACCAGATGACATTGCTTCAATACCAGATAATTTGTTCCCGAAAAAAACCTGCTGAGTTCTGTATATATATATATATTTATATATGATCTAGGCATACACTACACATTCACTAATGTACGCACGTGTGAGTTAAAGAAGAAGATAAGCACGTGCGTGCAAGCAAAAGAGCTAAAAAGAAATTTTATTTAAAATGTAGGTATATATGCAAACATGTGGTCGACACATACACATATTCACACATGTGGTCAATAGAAATTTTATATAGTACATAGTATGTGTGTCTGTGTATATTCATTAACATGTATAAAATTGTTTTAATTGTTATAACTATAAATTATAACGTTGCTTTAATACTTTTGAGAGCTTTTAAATTTTTATTCAGTTTCGTACTAAATCCGCATTCTTAATATTTGCTTTTTTTTGAAAAAATTTTTGTTGTTTTTTGAATGGGAGGGAACGGGAGAGAAAACGGGGAAATGAGTATAAAAAATGGAAAATGGATTTCTTGGGAACGTTGTCGTAAATGGAAATTCGGGAGCGAATCGGCAATGACAGACAAAATTGGAGGGAATTAAGAACAAATTTCAATTGCCGCTCTCTAATATGAACTTCTCACAATCCGTATTCATTTGATAAAGGAGGTTTTTTTGTTTAAAGTTTAGTCAGTGCTGTTCATCGTATGAACACATGAAACTAACTTCATAGTTCAATCAATCAATCAATTAGCTTATAAAGCGCTATTACCGCGATGTTCAATAGCGCTCCTCAATGAATTTTGAAAACAGATGGGTCTTGAGATCCGCTCTGAACTTCGCAAGTGATGGAGAAGTAGTCAGAGAAGAAGGTAGAGAGTTCCAGAGAAAAGGACCAGAAAAAGCAAAAGCAGATTTGGCAAAAGAGTGTTTAACACGAGTTAAGAAAAAGCGAGAAGAAGAAGACGATTGTAAACCGGGGCGTTTAGGCTCATTTAATATATCTGATAAATACTTAGGAAATAATTTAGATTGAGACTTATACATGAACACGCAAATTTAAAAAATTATTCTTTATTTTATAGGTAGCCAGTGCAAGAGAACAAGATATGGAGATATATGAGAAAAGAAAGGGGCACGAGCAACTAGACGAGCAGCAGAGTTAAAAGCTTTACTTAAAGGGTATAGTTTAATATCATGAAGACCATAGAAGAGCGAGTTACAATAATCAATCCTAGATAAGACTAACGAAGTAACAAGAAGGAGAAGAGTAAGATCATCAAGAAAAGGCGAAAGTTTTTTTATTCTACGTAGATGAAAGTAAGAGCTTCTAGCAACACTATTAATCTGAGAAGAGAGAGACATAGTAGAATCAAAGATAAAACCTAGACTACGAAACTTATGAGAGACATCAAGAGTTTTAGAATCAGGTAAGATAATAGGAGGAATATTAATAGAGTGTTTAGATTTATTAAAACAAATTAATTCAAACTTAGAAGGATTAAGTTTAAGACACATAGTGTCAGACCAAGCAATAATTGAAGAAAGACATAGAGATAAATTATGAAGAACACTATTGATATTAGATGGAGGAAAAGAAGTATAAATTTAAGAATCGTCAGTATATAGTTGACTAGAGAAAGAAAAGTTATTAATAATACGAGGTAGTTCAGAAGTATAGAGTATAAATAGAAGAGGGCCAAGGATAGAACCCTGAGGTACCCCGAAAGTAAGAGTAGAGGAGTTAGAAGTAGAATTATTGAAAACAACAGAAGAAAAACGATTACAGAGATAAGAAGAAAACCAAGATAGACAAGAATCAGTAATATTAAAAGAATGATGCAGCAGTCTCAAGAGAATAGTATGGTCAACAGTATCAAAAGCCAAGGAAAAGTCAAGAGCAAGAAGAAGAGTAAGATTACTATTGTCACTAGAGAGGAGGATATCATTGTGTATCAGTTGATTCTTTTCTACATTTTACTTACATTACATTTACCTACATTACTGTATAATTTTTATTATATATATGGTTCCATGCAGATCAGCGGATAGTTGATATAAATGGCTTAAAGTTTTTCAATCAGCATTTTTTATTTACTAAACATTTATCACCATAGATAAAGCAATTAATTTCTGCAGTTTCTTTATCCATGTTTATCAATAATTGCGGCTTGTAGTTTCAATCAAAAGTACCCTTTCCTTTTCTCGCTCGTTTTCATTGATGGCCACGTAGTTTTCAGTTTTGAAGATTTTCAGTCGGCGGAGGACAATTTTGAAGGGTATTTCTACTATTTTATATATATACTTTGTTTTAATTCTTGCTAAAAAGAAACAAGTGATTTTCTGCAAGTAAGAATAATATAGATCGTGATTTGTTTTTTTTACTGGTTTTATCATAACCAGTGGTTGGTAAAAAATTATAAAATTACGATGTGCACAAAATTTATCAAAGTTTTCTCTGCATCGTGCACACAATTCAAAACATTTTCAGTATTGTGAGCATTATGCACAATTTTTTTAAAGTCAATTTTCAATTATTATTAGTTAGCAGTTAGGATAATTACTCTCTGTGCATGAAAGATGAAACTAATGAAAACAATGCAGTTATAAATTTCTAATTGGTAATCCCGGAGATGGCAAAGTGGTTTTGGCAAAACTTTACAATGCAAACGAAATTCACGAAATTTACGGAATTCGAGATAATAAGCAGGAGTGAGAGTGTAAATATGTATAAAAGTGAATTGATATTAAGAATATTAATTATTTGATTTAAATTAGTTGTTTAAATTATTTATTATTATTTAAATAAATTAATATTAATTATTCATGATTTAAAGTGAAAT